GCAGGGTTTGGGGATTACCATGGCGGGGGGGCGGGGGGGGGATACCGTTGGGGGGGGAGGGGAGGGGGTCGATTACGCGGAACGTGGGCGCATGTAGACCCTAACCGTTTAGGGTTTAGGGTGCAGGGTAACCAAGGAACCCTCTGATCTCTAAACCCAGGGCTCTCCTGCTATTCAGCTTGATCTTTGCTGTGGTCTCCTTTGTCGGCTGCAGTGGTACAGCCTGGGCGACTGCGAGGGGCAAGGGCAACCGCTAGGGTTTAAGGTTGAGGGTTTGGAGTTTGCGGCTTAAGGTTCGTGAAGACAAGGGCTGCAGGGTTTATGGTCTACGGTCGCAAGCATGTGATCTGTTGCTATGTTTATTGTCATTTTCATCATGAATATTGATTGTCTTACTGCTATTATTATGTTTCTGTTTTTTTTTGGAGGGGCCTTGTGATAACATGTTTGGAGCTTGAGGAGGAATGAGACCTCGAGGCTGGGCATAATGCGGGCGAGGCTGCGCGAGGACTCAGGGCACAGGATTTTGCTTCGAGAGCCCCAGGGTTTAGGGTTCAGGGTTTAGGGTTTAGGGTTTAGGGCATCCGCTTATAGAACTCTTAGGTAGGCAACGTGTGCTCAAGGCAAGCTTTGGGCTTTAGGGTACCCACTTCAGGAAACCCACGGACCCACAGAAGCAACCCCCAAACACCAAACCTCAACTAAAGCCCCTGACTCCCAAACCCCAAACCCCAAACCCCAAACCCCAAACCCTAAACCCTAAACCCTAAATCCCCCAAAACCCTGGGGGCCCTGAACCCTAAACCCTTTCAGGGTTTCGGGCTTAGGATTTAGGGTTTAGGGCTTAGACCCAGTCTCTGTTCCAGGATGAGCTGGGACCGCAAGAGCATGGAGCTTTTGGTCAGGCCCCCCCCCCCCACACCCTGTGGACCCTATACAGCCCGTTTTTTGGGGGGTTTAGGGTTTAGGCTTTCGGGCTTAGGGCTTAGAGACCTGAACCCTAAATGCTGAACTCTGTTGCGGCAGGCTTGCGGAAATCCTCGCCGAACCCGAAACCCAAAAGCCTTTGTGCATCCAGGCTCTCTTGCAGCCAGCCGGGTTAGAGTTAACCCAAAAGCCTAAAACCCGAAACCCCGAACACTGAAGCCGACTGTCGGTGGTGGTAGGGTGCTGGCAACCACCTTGCCCATGAAGTCATTGTCCGACCTGAGGCCAGCGAGAGGATTGAGAACTGGGTCTAGGGTTTATAATTTAGGGGTTAGGGTGAGAGAACTCGGTTTCGACGTACTCGCTCACGCAACGGATCAATCTTCGGGCTTGGGTTTATGGGGTTTAGGGAGTTGGGACATTCGGAACCCTATATTCCCTGCAAGCCCCATACATCCCATAAGCTCCATGGGCAACCATACTTTTCAAAGAAATCGTAAGCCCAATGGAACCACGCAAGCCCCACAAGCGCTGCTATTGCAAAATCCTAGAAGCCCTAAATCAAGAGACACCAGGAGGCTACTTAGGTACATAGGAACTGCAATAAGGAAAAGTGGTTATGTAGGGGAGTAAGATTAAGGCCAATTAAGGCGATTAATAGTCCATTCCAGGGGTGCCTCCTTTTTTCCCGTACTAGAAGTCTTTGGGATCCCTACAAGCCCCATGATCCCTGTAAGCCCTTGCAAGCCTCTGATTGATAACCTCTTACGTCCCCCGAAAGAAGGATGTCCCCTAGATAAGCCTTTAAGGGACTAGATAGGATAGCTCCTTCCCAGTGATGAACCAACAAGCCCAAGACCCTCAAAAGCCAAACAAGCGTTGCTCCTTACGCACGTATCCTCAGCGCGCCGCATGGAATCGAAATCCCAAATCATGAAGGAGACGTGCTGCCATCCATCAGCCTTGTTGGGGTTGAGGGCTTCGGGTTCGGATTGTTTCGGTTCCACCACCCACCTAGGTAGAGGGCTTCCTAAACCCTAAACCCTGAACCCTAAACCCTGAGCCCTAAACCAAAACCCTAAACCCTAAACCCTAAACCTAAAAACCAACAAAAACCTAAACCCCAAACCCTAAACCCTGTAAAGGCTTCACGGGCTACGCCCCCCAAATCTCGGAACCTCCACTTCGCAGATGCAGCCCATGCGACCGGCAGGCCTTTCAACCCGAGCCGCTGTGGTCCCCCAGCGTGCCGCTGTGCAAAAAACATCGCTGCTTGTTTTAACGCCACTCCTGGACCTTTGTAGGTTTAGGGTTTAGGGTTTAGGGTTTAGGGTTTAGGGTTTAGAGTTTAGGGTTTAGGGTTTAGGGTTCGTAAGGGTTGAGGGAACAGGATATAGAGGGGTTGAGGGGCTCAAATGTCGCTGTGATGCCGGCGATACCAGCGACGTCAAGGGCACTTGTGTTGAAATCCTAAACCCCAAACCCCAAACCCCAAACCCCAAACCCTAAACCCCAAACCCTAAACCCTAAACCGTGGGGGTCTCTGAGTTTCTGGGTTCCGGTTGCTTTGTCAATCCTGCTCGAAAGAGGCGGACTTTCGCTGTTCGTTAGCGTGCACATCAACTCTATGGCCCAATACCTAAACTTAGGATGTTCCCCCTTATACTCTCAGTCCTAAATAGGGATTGTAGTACCCCCTGGTAGAATCCCTATTCAGGACTGTTACTCTACAGGGGAACATCCCAACCCTAAACCCCAGCACCTAACCACCCCGGCCTCGACAAAACAAGTCCGAAACCCCAAACCCCAAACGCCAAGCCCTAAACCCTAAACCCAAAAACGTTGCGCATTTTTTCGGCAGAAGCCTAAAACCAATTGAGAAAGTACGTGTACTTGCAACCTTTTTTAGCCTACTTCGAAGTACCCGTGGACCTCCAAATGAGCTCAAGACAAAAGACTATCAACCGCAAACAAACCCGAAAGCCCTGAAAGCCCTAAACCTGACGAGTAGTTGGCCCTGAGGTGCTGGCATTGCCGAACTGATGAAAGTATGCACGCGAGGCCTGTCAGGTGCCACCAGAGCTGATGCGGGGGGAAGATGAAGGCTTGGGGCTCTACAAGGAGGGGCCCCTTACTAGACTAGCTATATAGTTGAGGGACTTATAACCTAAGTTAGGATCCTTATAACCCAATTTCGGGTCCTTATAACTCTACTTATAACTAGGGGGGCCCCTCCTTGTATTGAGTTTAGGGTTTAGGGTTCAGGGGGCTGATGTAAGAGATCTCATTGTCATTGTCCTATTTCCCAGATCCGAAGAACCAACATGCCCTTCACAGACTATAAGCCCTAGGCCCGAACGGAATGCCCACTAAGAACACACAATGCGAACTTGTAGAGAACGGCTTAGTCGGCACACTGTCGACATCGCACAAGCATCTTCTTCTTGGTGAGGCTTGATGTCGGTTTGGGGTTTAGGATTAGGGAATGTGGGATTGGGGAATTCGGTACCCTATGTACGTATATACATATATATACATATACATATATATATATATATACATAGAGAGATACGGGGATCTGTGGCGCCTATTTTCCTGATTCCACATGAACCCAACAAAAACGCATATGTTCCATATGGTCACTTCCCTAAGATATGGTCCCTTTGGGGGTCCCTTATTCTAAGGGCCTCATATTTGTTTAGGGTACCCAAAAAGGAGCCATTTAGAGAACTGACCATAGAGCCCCGGCTCGAAAGAAGCTGCTCTAAAGAACCTGAACCCTCGACCCTACAAGGAGGGGCCCCCTTACTAGACGAACTATGGTTAAGGGACTTCTAACCTAAGTTAGGATCCTAAAAGCCCAATTTAGGGTCCTTATAACTCTACTTATAACTAGGGGGGCCCCTCCTTGTAGACCCTAAACCCTCAACCCTACACCCCAATCTAGAGACTGAGGCCCATGTCCAGGTGAAAGCTTTGATTCTTGCACAGGCTGACGAGCAGGAGGCCATTGCGAAGGCGGATGCGGCTCGCAAGCAAGCAGCTGAAGAGCAGAACATTGATAGCTTGGTGAGAGGAACGCCCGAGAATTGTCGGACGTTCCTCTACACCAAGCTATCAACGTTCTGCTCTTCAGCGGCCTCGGAATCCCAGATGGCTGGATTGATGTCGAAAGGTCGACACTTCGACGTAACTTACGACACTGTCACAAGCAAGGCTGCACGAGATCCCGACTATGAGCCTCATAATGGGGATCTCGTTCCGCATTGCTTGTGACAGTGCCGTAAATTCCATCGAAGGGTCGACCTTTCGAGCGCACACTGGCTCCATCACATGATGCGACCATGGCCACGAATGGTCCCAGATCTATGGCCCCAAGCCTACAGATATTTCAGTGGCCAGCTGACGCCTCTGCACTGCTCCCTCCACTCACTTCAACTCAAAGAAACGGCTGCTGCCTGCAACAAGCTCGTCCAGAGTTTCCTGCACAGCATATAGCATACATCTTCCATGGGTACGTGGCAGGGCAGCATTCTTTTCCTAGCCGCATCTGGCACTCAAGATTGGCGTCATCAAGTGGCCTTACTTCGAAATGTACACAAACCTCCACTACGCCAGCAACTCTGGCTTTTCTGCTCGTCTGCCTAGGCTTAATTCGGCGTCGTCTTTCAACCACGGACTTCACCAGCTCTAGCGCAGTGCCTTTTGCACTTCGCATGCGCTTCCTTGGCAGCATCCGTTGTGGCCTTCACCAGAAGACTCCGCCAGAACCCCGAGCCCTTTGCAGGGTTCTGGACAGATTTACCTTGGCACCGATGGCAGCCGACGAGATAGTCGAGGATCAGTCCTTGGCTGCACTCAGGAGGGTAGCTATAAATTAAACCTTTTAGCTGCCTTAATAAGAAACCCAATAAACCCAAAAAGACAGTATAAGGATCTAAAGTTACAGGAATTATACCACAAAGAGTCGGCGGTTGTTCACAGGGACGTCGCTGTGGCATCGGATCGCCCAGAGGTGCTGGGAGGTGCTGCAGGCCAGGCAGAGAGCCCGGAAAAAATCGGGCTCAGCAGGACTACACCTTACTTCCCCAACGCGCCAGAGAACAGAAAGCCTTTCGCTCCAACTGTCCAGCAAAATAAGCCCAAAAAACTTAATGTTGTATCAGTGAGGCACATACTTCCGGTGAGCGATGACAGGCCCTTCTTCGTCATACTCCTCCTTGCTGACGCACATTCTCGGAAACACCTGCGCAAGCGGTACTGTTGGGTATGTGTGTGTATGTGATTATCAGGGCGGAGCGGGTCAACATGTATACATAAAGCCCTTTTTTGCACCCGGACTCCCGTGGGTGCTGCCAGAAACTTCAAGCCCTAAACCCTAACCCTAAACCCTAAACCCTAAGCCCTAAACCCTAAACCCTGAACCCTAAACCCTAAACCCTCAGCACCTCCAGATCCGCGAGGATGGATCCCCCCACCCACGCACTCCACTGCCGATTTTCGAGCGCCAGGACCTTTGGTTGCACCTGTAGGCTGATGGGCTTAGGGTTTAGGGTTTAGGGTTTAGGGTTTAGGGTTAGACTGAGCTATATACCCAGTATGAGATAGCAAGCGTAAACAACCGTAATTGAAGTATACGGGCCAGCCTATACTTCTGATTCTGAAGGCGGCGCGAGAACAAACTAGAGAACAACCCAATAGTGGCCGAAACAAACTGCGCTCAATATGGATAAGGGCTAAAAAGCTCTGGGTGCTTTGCAGCGTGCTCGGAATTTTGCAAAATGGGATCGGAGGTCAGATGCCCAGGTCTCAAGACCCACTAGCAAAACGAAATCTGCATAAGACATCATATCCTAAACGCGTTGGGTCTTTGACTAACCGCTTTCGAGAGTGGGTGTTCGGGTAGAGTTGAGTATAGACATCCCACGGCCCCTGGTTTAGACCCTGAGGATTGGGCCTCTTAGGGCTTGTATAGGGCTCTAGGGATTAGGGTTACGGTTTTAGGGTTGAGGCTGGGATGCTACCCCTGATACTAGCAGTCCTCAATCGGGATTCTCCTGTCCCCCAATTGTTATCCCTATTACTATTAAGGACTGTTAGTTAGTGTAAGGGGGAGCATCCCAACCCTAAACCCATACCCTACACCCTCCTAGGGTTTTAGGGTTTATAAGCCATAGGAGACCTAGGTCCATATAGCCCTGTGTGGTGCCTGGGTGACGCCTGCCGCCATCAAGTCCCTGGCCAGGCGCTCTGGCAGCCCCGGCAGAAGGCTGGTCCCTGGTTTGGGGTTTAGGACTTCCTGCAGGAAGGGTTTAGGGTTTAGGGTTTAGGGATTATAGGGTTTGTAGTTTAGGAATGGTGAAGAACCAAGCAAGTCGTGAACAAATGAATGGACACACGCACGCGCACGCGCACGCGCACGAACACACGCACACGAACACACGCACACGAAGACACGCACACGAACACACGCACACGAACACACGCACACAACCACACGCACGTGCACGCACACGAACACACGCACACGAACACACGCACACGAACACACGCACACGAACACACGCACACGAACACACGCGCACGAACACACGCGCACGAACACACGCACACAAACACACGCACACAAACACACGCGCACGAACACACGCGCACGAACACACGCGCACGAACACACGCACACGAACACACGCGCACGAACACACGCACACGCACACCCACTGCACACACTCACGCACACACACACACACTCTCTCTCACACACACACACTCAGTTTCCCAAGATTGGAGCGCATGTGTAAAAATGAAAAGCCACGCAAGCACAATTAACGGTCATATAGCCACACATGTGCTGTGCATATGAGTGTTTCCCTGTTGGCTTTGGCTTTCCCACATGTGGCATGTTGGCTTTGGCATTTATGTGATGTGCCATGTCTAGCTGGAATTCAAAGGGGGGTTTGGAATGCCGGGGCTCGGATTTGGGCTTTTCGATGTCGGGCCTACGGATGGGGGTTTTAGGGTTTCGGGTGTAGGGTGTAGGGTTTAGGGCACTTCTTGGTTTTGGGTTTGAGGTGTATGGATGGTCTCGGGCCATCTTCAGCAAAGGGTGTGCAGTAGCCTCTTAAACTGCTCATCATAGGTGAGGTCTGTAGCTAATAGCGGAGGTAGCGGCGAAACCCTGAACCCTAGCCCCAAGCCTTAAACCAAACTGCTGATGATGTGCAGGCTGCCGACTGTC